TTTTGGCTGCTTGTTTTGGATTCTACAGCTTCAAAGCACAAACTTTGAGTCACAAGACTTGGTGAAGTGGTGCAGAATAGGTCCCAGAAAATGAATATGAAAAAATAAAAACAAAAAAAAGTTTTAAATTTTGTGAAAAATAAAAAATAAAAATGTTTTTTTCCAAAAGCTTTGTTATTCATTTTGGGGGAGTGGTAGTGCTGAGAGAAACAAAGAGTGGAACATGGCAAGAATGATTATAAATGAAAAAAATTGGAACCAAAAAAGGTTGAGCCAGGTTGGTTTTCCAGATTGGAGTCAAAACGGTAAATTCTAGTGCTTTACTGCAATGTGAGCTGGTGAATGCCCCACTCAACAACTGGTTAAAACTATCTGGTAACCACTTTTTCCAAAATTTTCATTTATAATCATTCTTCCCACTTTCCATTCTTTCTTTCTCTCTGCACTCACACTTCCCCAAAATGAATATCAAAGCTTTTGAAAAAAATCAATTTTATTTTTTATTTTTCACAAATTTTGAAACTTTGTTTTTTGTTTTTATTTTTTCATATTCATTTTTTGGGACCTATTTTGCACCAATTGACCAAGTATCATGACTTCAATCTGGTGCTTTGAAGCTCTGGGATCCAAAACAAGCAGCCAAAAATAATGGTCCACCCACTGTACAGGACTTTAACACCCATTAATCAAACAGGTAGATCCAAAAACCTCATCTCTTTGAACAACCACTTGAAGCAAATAAAAATGGAAGGGCACAATTTTATTTTCAAACTTAAAAATAAATAATAAGATATCATCAGAATCTCTTGAAGGAACACCAATTCAGATCTTATCTGAGAGGGCCCTTATGTCAAACACTATCAAGCTTGCTGGTTTCACACAAAACTTGATCCGTGTTTGCTAGTACTACTGAAGCTACTAGGGGAAGAGTGGACAAAGAGATAAACTCAAAACTAAAGGCTAAGAGGGAAAAACACAGTCAAAGATCCCTTATAGAGGGACAGGAGATCTGCTAGCTTGCATTGCACAAATTTATCCATGCTACAAGAGGCTGGGTGCAATTGATGCCTTAGGGATTTTGAGCAGAAGAACGGATGATTTGCATTTCTTATCTATGAAGCTTGCCTATTTAGGCTATTACAATGCAGAGGGATAAGTTGTGGGACAGGAGAGATTAAATTGTTTAATATGGGAGGAGGAAACCTAACAAGTGACAGATGAGAAAAAGGAAGTTATAAAGCACATAATTCCAACAGCTACTATCACTCAGCTCCATTAAATATTGTGACATGTGGGAAAAACATTGAATTGTTGGCCCACAGTAAACCCACAGTACAGGATTGTGAAATTGAATTGGCATGAGGTTGGACATTACACTTTTCCAAACAGAATGACAATTTCACTGGAATAATTGATATTTCACATTATTTATCCACCAATGACAAATATATGAAAGTGAAAAATGGGGCCTTAATATGTTTTAAATGGAGCTGAAACAAACTGTTTTTTTCAAATCTCAGCAGAATTTCCAGAATGATTCCAACATCTGATTCTCAACAATATGGTTGCTTGAAATTGTATGGATTGTGTATAGGAAAGTTGGGAAGAGAGAAAAGGAGAGCTCAAATGGCAGAAAAGGAGAAAAGAATAGCAATGTCTCAATGCCTTTTTAGTTATCTGCAGCTTAGCAAATGCAGCACTTCCTCCAAGTACCAGGAAAATGATAGAAGAGGATTGCAAGGTAATGTGAATACATGATGTCATTCCCAGGTTGTTTGCCTGTGCAAAACCTGGATAGTCTTATCTGAGAGTGTTGAGCCCGTCCAATTGAGTAACACAAGCAAAAGAAATGGATAAACATGCATCCTCTTGCCTTGCATGTAGTATTTCGTCCGGCCTCACATCAAGGTCTAGGTCGACCAGCACAGAGATCACCATACCCCTTGACCGCAGACGTGTAATTGGCATATACAAGCAGGTTGGTATTTCTCATCTTCCCGATGGGCAACATTCGTTGATGTCATACCATGATTAGCTTCACCGCTAATCAATACAAATGTCGCCGCTAATCGTAACGCAGAGTGAGGCTGCGACTCGTTTTTGAATGGGATGACTTCTGGTGCCAAACCGAAAGATGATAATCCCTTTGTTTGCTCGTGAATAATCACAAGGTAAAATGCCTGGGGGGTATTGCCATCGCCAAGGCATATACCATGCATCCGGGCACTTTCCATTTCCCCCGCTTCGCGCTTGGTGCTCATGGGTGATCTTCCTACCAATTTTCGTGAGCATTGCAGAGCCGGTTCCTGAAGCCGCTTATCAAAAACCCAATTCTGAAATTAGATATGTACAGTGATTGGCCCATAGTTTTTGGCGCAGATCACAGGTAACTTTGGTGAGTTGCGCCAAAAACTGTTGGTCAGTCACTGGACCATGGCACATGTAGTACTGAGGAGTTGGTTTTGTCTATTCTCAGGTTGTGTGTTGAATTTTTTGTATCATGAGGGGTCAGAATCAGATGCACCATAGTTTCTTCTCCGCTCTACAGCTTTTTTGGTTTGAATAACAACATCGGCAAAATGAAGAGAGGAGTCTGAACACCCTTAACTCCACACCTCCACCTCTCCCCCTCCAACCCCCGTGTCGTTGCCATTCACAATGGCAGCTGGTATTGCCAACTTGATCTGTATGTTCATGTCAGGTTTACGGTACGAAATATTAATGACATAACAGTTGGCAATGAGATGGTGCTGGCCTCGGGAAGATTCTCTGAGTCTCAAATTTCAATGCAGAGCGCAGTGGGTCTCTTTATGTCCTCCTATCTATGTCATTGAGGGTCATAAGAGTTGGGCCAGGAGAAACATGCCTGGAGCTACATCATGGAGGATACATGTTCGCATCAGCTGGGATGGCAACGCAC